TAAAAAATTCCCGGAAGGCCTTTTGAATCTCACCCTGTTGGAACACTTCCTTCCCTCTATAGAGCAATTTAGCTATGTTACGAGATTTTTGTTTTTTCCTAATCTGATATGCTAACCATCTGCCAGATTTATTTGCATTACAAAAAGTATTATGTTTTGCATATAACAGACTAGTGGCTACTTGGTCTGAGATCAACATATTAAATTGGGCTTTTAATAAGGTAATTGCTTCTTTAATCTTTATATCTCCTGGTTTTAAGGTTATATTCTTCTGCATTTCTTTCTCGCCAAATATCTCTCAGTTCAAAATCATCCATCATATCGAAAAAGGACTTAGGTAGTTTCGCTCGCATTTGAGTATTTGGACGAAAAACCTTCTTATCTTTCTTAGTGTCCATAACACCGTTCCAGTCACCCAGTAATATGCAATATCCCACTGTATTAATTTGGCATGAAGTTTTCTATAAAACTTCTTTTTCAGCATTTTCGACTTTTTGTTGCACCACATCCATTTTCGATACCAAATTAATATTAGCATCATTAAGATCTTCTAATCTGTCTTCCATTCCCAAAACATATTCTGTCAATGAATTAACAACCCCCAACATATCATCCCTGATCTTCTGAACCCAGGTCTCAAGTTTATCAGACAGTTCTTTATGAGCAACGGATAACTCCTGCTTAAGTTTTGTTTCCATCGTAACTACATGATTTTTAAATGCTTCAGCCAGTTCCTTCTGAAAAAATTCTTTAGTTAATTGCTCCCCTATGGGGGGAGGAAGTAATGACTGTAGTTTCGTGCCAGGAGCTGGCGAACTGCTAGCACTTTTTGGAGCAGGAGGGCGACCTTTTGGATAGGATTATGCTTAGAAGCCATTCCAAGTTTTAATCTTCTTCAGCCAATTAATAAGTCTCTGCTGACCAATTGTGCAGATGCTGCTTAATTTAGTATTAAGTCACTCCTTTCCTTTGAAGTTTTAAACTCCGTAGAAATTCAAAGCTCAAACAGTGTTACGAAGCTGCTTGGCGCCATTTTGAATGTCTCTTTAGCAGGTAAGATATCAGAAGGAATTCTTGTAAAAATGAAGCTAAGGATTAATACAAACAATTAAAAGTTCACGTGTACAGTGTCCGCTTGTCTTGGATTCAATAAATCAAATTTTGTTCTGAGGATGGGGGGTTTGCTTTGCGCTGCAGATTGCAGCAGGAATTCCTGGCACGGAGACAATTCTGCCCTCAGCTGGCCTTCCCCCCCGTCCCAGAAATGATCTGTGAGAGTTGGTTGGCACGTTGCCCGGCACAATAGCTCACCTTATCTTCTTGGCCCGAAGAAAAGGTAAACAAGCTGTCAGATGGCTGATGGATTGCTCATCCGACAGATAAACGCGACCAGGATTCAGGAGCTGTAACAACCAGCTCCCACCAACAAGCCCCTTCCCCCGGAAGTCGTCGGGTTTTCATTCTTACTGTGGCTGATCTTTAGGCTCTTCCGGCTGTCCCTTCCTGTCCGTTCTAACACAGCGTCTCTGCTCCGCTTCTTCTCGGCAAAATTGTACTGTAAAAACAGCCTCTCTCCCAGCTACTACTTCTTCCAGCTCACTCTCTCTGCCAGTTTCGCATTGCTCTCCTCTCTGGATTGTCAGCAATAATAACAAGCATCTGAACTCAACTGCTTCTATCTCTGCTCTTCCTTCTATGTGGCCGCCATTGCTAAGGTCCTAACCAAAAGGTAGGATATTTCTTCACCCGTTTAGGGGTTTCTCCTATCCACAGGGGATTTGCCTTATCACTCCAGCATCTACAGAGTATCCCCTTTGATCTGCTGATCTCTTCGGGATCAGCAGTGCTCCAAAAAAGAGCCCACATGAAGAGGTTAGAGTTAAGGGTTAGGAGAGCTCCCTTACCCCGCTCTAAGCACAATGACGTCACCGTCGGAAGCCTAGGTTATAATTTTTGCAATGGTATTGCTCTAACACTGGACAAACAGCAAGCACCCTTCCTCTCTCTGAATTGTGCAGTAATGTCACTAACCAGCTGGATAACATGGGTTCTTCCAAAGGAACTGCAGCCTTTCACTGTTCAGCTTCCAGCTCACATCGAAGCATTCAGCCTTTTCAAAACCTGTCTGCAGATAGTCGCTAGTAGGAAAGGATTGCAGTCTCTTGGATTGAGATCTGTATGTGGGCATATTAACTTAAAAGGGCTCAAATTTGGAAGTTTGAAAAAGTGGGATTTTGGAATTTGCTTTTCTCTCACCATTTACAGGTATTTTGTCTTAAACAATGAAGCTGGCCTCCTAGAGTATTTTGTGAATGAACAGTCCAGAAACCAGAAACCTAGAGGTACCTTGCAGCTGGCTGGAGCTGTGATATCTCCTAGTGATGAAGATTCTCATACTTTTACAGTGAATGCTGCCAGTGGAGAACAGTATAAACTGAGAGGTATGGTTTTTTTTGTATGTATGTGTGTGTGTGTTTATTTATCAGCACAAATAAAACACAAATATAACAAAGGCAACAGTAAAAATATTGGGTTTCTGTCGTGATGGACTCTTGTGACGAGCCAATTGACAGATGATGGAAGCAGTTAGCTTCCTCCCATAATTGGGGCTTACCAGGGGTTGTGACACTATACATACATACATACATACATACATACATACATACATACATACATACATACATATATATATTTCCATTGCTGCTTGTTCACTAGGATGAAATCCTACTTTTTTGGTTTTTTGGTCTATGCAGGTAGTGCTCGACTTACAACCTCAATTGAGCCCAAAATTTATGTTGTTAAGCAAGACATTTGTTAAGTGAGTTTTTCCAAACTTGATTATTTTTCTTGCCACAGTTGTTAAGTGAAATACTGCAGTTCATAAGTTACTAACCTGGTTTGTTAAGTGAATTTGGTGTCCCCATTAATTTTGCTTGTCAGAAATTCGCAAAAGGGATCAAATGATCCTAGGACACAGCAAAAGTCATAAATATGAATCACTTGCCAAGCATCTGAATTTCGATCACATGATCATGGAGATGCAGCCAAGGTCATAATTATGAAAAACGTCACTGAACAAACTGTTGTAAGTCAAGGTCTAACTGTACTGGCCTTTGCTTTCATTTTGTCTGAATTCAGGCAGGGTATTTGTTGATATAAAGAAAGAGAGAGAAGTAAGCATGTTATAGAAAATCCAGGTATTTATTTCATTGAACTAATAATTCATAATTCAGCAAGAGAGATTTCTGAGAAACTTAAGAATGTAGGTCTTTGTAGGTTTTATATGTAAAACAACACAGTGGTTGCTTCGAAGTAGTTTGAAGATATCTGCACCCAGACCTTTTTAAACACTGACCAACTTGTATAAAATTATTATAAAGTTTAGTATTCAAATGTGTTTTTGTTAGGTGCATTACTTTCTGTTCTGTCATCTGAAAATGAATTCAATGTTAAAGGCAGAGTATGCTTTTTGTTCTTAGCTCTTATTGTTGTTATTTTACTTGTGTTTTGGCAAATCCTCGCTTCATCTTTTGAGGTTGTAGCCATTGAGGTTGAGTCTGTCATTAAATTTTTCCAGTTTAGTTTCCCTTGAGCAGAATTTTACTTTTGAATGTTGCTGCTAGCAAAAAGTAGATTTATTCAGTGATTTTCATCATGTTTTTTCCTCTGGCAATCTCCAGCATAATCTGTTTGCTGTTTAGGAGTTTTTCCACATTCTTCTGGAAAAAAAGGTTTTTAGGAGAGGTGGAAATAGCCAGTCATTCTGCTATGATGATGGTTTGTTGAGCTCATTTGTCCATTTTTGGGAAGCCAGAGTCTTTCACTATAACTAGAATTGAAAGTATATTGTGAAAATTCTTGACCTTTTGCTTTTTATTCAGCTACGGATGCCAAAGAAAGACAGCATTGGGTCAGCAGGCTTCAGATATGCACACAACACCACACTGAAGCAATTGGAAAGGTATTGTCTGTAACAAACACTGTAAGTCATGCAGCAATAAGAATGTGTAATGTCTACAAACCTTGTGAACCAATAGACCAGCAGATCCTACTTACATTTACCAAAGAAAAGAAAACCCGATAGAGAACAACATCAAAGTCAAGATCAATTAGTTTTAATTTAATTTGAGAAACAGTTCTACAGATTAGGGGCAAACATCTTTTAGCTGACTTATAGGTTCCTCTTTCCTTTAAGGTGCATCTAAAGTTTTATCCCAAAAAATGATACAATTTAACAAAGCAATGATACAATTTATTTAAAGCAAGATTCCAGTTATTTTTGACAAACAGAATTCATTAAAAAAAATCCTATATATGCATATCGTTACTTTTATCTTTATAGGAACTGATCCAAGAAGTCTCAGGAAATTATAGTCCTTGGATTTAAAGCAAGCAATAAATATTAAACTATTATTTGAAGTTTAGATGAAACATTGATGAAAGTCGCGTTTTGAAAGATTTTCTACGTTGCTTACAGCTTATCCAAAAAGAGGATCAAAGCAGCTAGATACACCCCCAGAATAAGTCAATTTTTATAAATTGACTTATTACTCTGATCAATTTATATGAGCCTCTGTAATTTTCTAATTGTTTTAACTTATCTGATGTATAATTGTCTCTTGGAGCAGTTGGGAAGTCTTGGATCTATTTTCACTTAGTAAAATTAAAAGCCACAATCCTGTGTTAATATCTGGGAGTAAAGTGTATTGAATGCAGTGTGACTTGTTCCAGAATGAAATGGGTTGTGAATGCGTTTGCTCTTGCAGAAATGAAAAAGGTGGATAATATTTATCTGAGTATTTATCTGATAGTATTGATTATCCTGGTTAATGCTCAGTTAATTGTGCAATTGTGAGTCAACAGCTGGCATGTGTGAAAATGACTGGGGTAGCTCAGTGAATCTCAAATGGAGTTTTGTAACATATTGAGGAGTTCTATTAAGTGATTCATTGAATAAAATGAATTATCTGTGTCTTGCAGTTCCTAAATGTGTTTCTGCAGCATAACTGATAAACCACTTTTCTAGATTGCAAAATTAAGCTTATCACGTTCTCTTTCAGTTGCTCATAAATAGTGGAATCTGGCTTTAAGCTTTAAGCATTATCATTAGCCAGCCATCTGGAAAAGAATACTTGTTTTGACATAGTGTTATATCTTTGCCAAAATAAAATTACTAAGGCAGATTCAGTCTATGGAAGAAGCTTTCCCTGTTCCACACGTTTATGTTTTTATTTTCCAGGGCGCTGCTCAGGAGAGTCCAAGCAAGGGTTAAATAGAGCCAAACTGCCCAGAACTGAATTGAAACTTTAAGCCACGCCTCTGGTGCTGATTATCTTCAGATTTTTTCAATTCAGCTAGCCCAGTAGAACACGCTTAGAGTTGCTCTTCATTTCTATTGCTAGCTTGGACTCTCTTGAGCATTTTATTGTGAGTATTATTTAGTTTAGGGTGTGAATAGGCTGAGTGAGTGTATTTAAGCTTTCTTTAGTTCGTTTCCACTCTGGGCTCACTCTTCTTTCCTCTGGTGTCCTGTTTAACACCCAGACGCTGCTCGGAATGCAGGCAGCTGCTGGGGCAAGCGCGCGGGTCAGAGTTCCGACGCCACCACTGTTGCGATCCTCACTGGCTAGGGGGAAGCCCCGCTGAAGCTCCTGTGGTTGGCGTCCGTGCCTTGGGTGGCCGGCATGCAGGTGCGGAGCCTCAGAGCTCCGGATTGCTTGGTGGCAACTTTTAAAGCAATTAGTTCTTTCCGGCCACCATTTTGGAGCTATTTACAGTTTCAGTTTCTACTTTGCACCTCGTGCCGCAGCTGCCTGCAGCCTGATTCACAGCGAGAGCCGTGAGGAGCCATTCTTTGTCCAGCCTGGCTGGCAATTTGGCGTGTATCTCTTCCACCTGAGCGGCAAGGATTGGGGCCGCTGGTCACAAACCTTCTTCCTGCAGCGCTGGGAGCTGTTAACGCTTGTGCTTTATTCCACCTGCTGGATATTGGTGCTGCGATCCCCCCCCCCATGTCTCTTCAGAGCGTCTGTTGGTTTGCAGGGCTTTTGCAAGGTGGTGAGTGGAGGTAGCCCCTGGTTGTCATTTGGCCCACCTTTATTGTATGGCTGACCAGGTTCCCGAGGATTCTACCCAGGCAGGGGGTTCCTCCAGGGTTTTCTCCAGGCAGGCTGGCATGGCTGCCAGGGAAGCCATCAGGGGCTCCAAACCATACTCCAGGCCTGGGCGTAAGCAGGGATCAGGGCCAGACAAGGATGCATTGTGTCGCCAAAAGGCCCTTGAAAAGCAATTCTCCAAGGCCTAGCACCAAACACAATGCTCCCAATCAATGTCTCCTGAGCAACCCGCCATGGAGGTTCCTCCGGCCCAGCCAAGCTGTGTTTCAGACAGCGAGGATGAGGGCCGGGAGTTTCCCCCCACGGCTTCCATGTCTAGGACAGTATCACCAGGGCCTTCGATGGTAGATCAGGCTGATCTTTTCGCTTGCCCTTCGAATCTAGAGGAAGGCCCTGCCCCAGGTCCCTTGGCCCCTCAACATCCGCCTTCAAGGCCCAAGCCCAGGTCTTGCCCCATGGAGGATCTTGGGCCTGACCTTTCAGTGGAGATGCAGGAAGTTATTAACAGGGCCATTTCCCAGGGCATTGAAGCGCGCATGTTGCACAAGTACCATCAATATGCGGACGATACGCAGTTGTATCTGTCCGCCCCGTGCCAACTCANGCATCGCACAGATGCTAGTACACATGCGTGCACTGCGCACGTGCACGAGGACGCCGCCGGCCCCGTTTCAACCGAACCAGTTGGAACAGGGTGAGAAACCCACCCCTGCCTTGCTGGGAATATATACTTTTTGGCATATGCTCCAGCATTCTTTGCTCATCCTCCTAGGAATATGCTGCTGCCACAATGGGGCAGCACAGCAGGAGTTGGGTGGTCAGGGGAATAATCAGGGAAGTAGTAATAATTCTTTGATTACAACAACAGTATTACTAAAGCACCATGCCTCATGCCAATTAAGTTTCAACAATCTTCTCAATATGCATTTATTGAATTCTGAGCCAATAAATAATTACCAGGGTCAAATATTTCTTGAAGCAAAGCATCAGAGGATTGTTATCTACCAGGAGGTTCTCTCGGGTATGTATAATACAATTGTGATACACAACTCAATTAATTCAATGCAATTTGTGAATGAGAATACCCTTGGCATGGACAAATCTTCTAATGCTTTACAGCAGGGGTGTCAAACTCAATTTCATTGAGGGCCGCATCAGGACTGTGCTTGACCTTGGGGGGATGGACAGGCATGGCTAACTGTGTGTGTGTGGCCAACTGTGTGGGCATGGCCAACTGGGTGTGTGTGTCTGTGTCTGTGTCTGTGTGTGTCCAACTGTGTGGGTGTGGCCATCTTGACACCTTTCCCTAAACTGCTAGCATGTTTCCTCTTCACATTGGGTAGACCAGAACGAAGCTACGTTGGTCTGATCTTTCTTCTTCGCATTGGGTAGCAGGACGGCCCCGCGGACCGGATCCAACCACATCGCGTGCCACATCCGGTCCATGGGCCTTGAGTTTGACAACTTGCTTTATATCCTTAAGAAATGTATACAATTAGGTTTACCTGTAGGCGGCAGTATTTTCCGTTGGTGGGGCGGTTTTGATGCAGCCAGTTGGAAAAAAGAAAACTTTACACACTTCCCAGTTACTCTGTCACATATGCCAGATGGACAACTGCAGGTTCTTAGACAATCCAATCCATAAGTACCATAAGGACACTCTGCAAGATAAAATATTAGAAAACAATAGATATATTACTATGCTTTAAACATTTGTTATATTGCAGAAGGTTTTGTTCTACATCAGCATTTTGCAAGCCACTATGAGTTTAAAAGATTCAGCAGCATGCAAATTTGATAATTAAACAGTTAAGTAGAATGCTAGGAATGCAATTCTAAATATAATTGCCTCTGCTCTCTTTGAATTTTACTGAATAGGCATGTATACCATGAAATTAAATCATTGATTCTTGAAGGCATATTTCTTGAAGGCATTTCCTTCAAGAAATATGCAGAAGATTCACAATCCTAAACATACATAATTGTTACAAAGTAATCCATTATTGCATATTATTTTTATTTTCAGTTTATTTAGTAAATCTCACTAGATTCAAAAGTGTTCATTCTTGGATGGTATAAAATGTCACCTCTTTATGTAAGTACTCTTTTCCTCAAAAGAATGTTTTGTCAGAAATACAGGATTGCAATTCCTGGAACTCCTAGGAATTATGAGAGTTGTGTTCCAACACAAGCCGAGAATGCCAAATGAGGAAGGTTTTACCATATAATAATAATAATATTATATTATATAATAATAATATAATAACATGAAAATAGTAATTATAGTAATTCATTATAGAAATATTTATCTTCCTACACTGGAAATAAATTACCTTTGTTTCATAAATATGTTCTTTTCAACTGTGTGTGTGTGTGTGTGTGTGTATGTCTCTGTGTGTGTGTATCTCTATCTAGCTATCTAGCTATCTAGCTATCTAGCTATCTAG